CTCCCCCCCGCTCAGCCCTGCTCCCAGGCTTGCTGAGCCTTGTGGGGGGAATGCTTCGGACCTAGCCAATTCACTCCCCTCGCGCCGCAACACCTGCCTAGAGGCACCACAGGGCCCGGTCCCAGGGACTCCACAGTGTGGGAGAGAATAGGGCCTGACCTGACCCCCAGTTCAAGGGATCCACTTGAGGGAGTGGCCTGGCACAAAAATCCGACTGGTGCACAGGAGGCTAGAGGGCCTCTCTAAGGTACGCTGGCTCCGGTTCAGTCCCAGGGCAGTGGGCACAGGCTGGCTCACAGAGAGGTATGGATGGGCTCTGGGGACCCGTCCCCTCTAGGAGGCACCAGCCCCTATCTAACCCCATGCAGGCAGCATGGAATCATAGAACACTAGAGCTGAGAGGGACCTCAAGAGGTCATCGAGTCCAGTGCCCGGACCTCACAGCAGGACCAAGCACCTAGGGCTACTCAACACATGGCCCGTGGGCCGCATGCTGCCCATGGCCAGTTTGTTTGCGGCCTGTGGTGAGGTTTGGGTTTATGTGGGGATCAACACACAGCTTGTGGGTGGGAGCCAAAACAAAAAAGCAGTCAATGTAATGGTCTTCAGTTGAGATGCGTTTTAGTAGTTAAATTCTTGGACTGTCATTGCTCGTGAAAAGTGCTGTCATATGGGTGGAAATCGGGTAAATGTTGCATTTTATTAATATCATCAAAACTGACTTAAATGGGGCCTGTGTGTTGTATAGTCTTGCCTTAATCATTGGATTCATGCCTGTCAGTGTGAGAGAAGCTATTTGTGTATATATGCTTATATATGCAACCACACTTAAGTTGAGGCCCTCAGCATGTTCTGTGAGTATCAGTGCTTCCAAAGTTGAATTGCCCTAGCTCATCCCCAGGGCTCACCGAACCACGGCGAGCCCCGCTCAACAGCCGCACCGTCCGGCGATCTGCGCATGCGCAGATTGCCCGAAACCGGCTCTTCCGGGTTGCAATCTACTCACCACAGGCAAGTAGATTGCATTATTTGTCGACCCCTGCTCATCCCTGACAGATGTCTGTCTAACGTGCTCTTAAATATCTCGAGTGATGGAGAGTCCACAATCTCCCTAGGCAATTTATTCCAGTCTTTAACCACCCTGACAGGCAGGAAGTTTTTCCTAATGTCCAACCTAAACCTCCCTTGCTGCAGTTTAAGCCTGTTGCTTCTTGTCCTTGGCCATCCTCAGAGGCCAAGGAGAACGATTTTTCTTCCTCCTCTTTATGACACTTTTTAGATACTTGAAAGCTGCTCTCCTGTCCCTTTTCAGTCTTCTCTTTTCCAACCTAAACAAGGACGGTTCCTTCAGCCTTGCCTCATAGCTCATGTTCTCTAGACCTTTCATCATTTGTGTTGCTCTTCTCTGGACTTTCTACAGTTTCTCCACATGTTTACTGAAATGTAGCACCCAGAACTGGACACAATACTCCAGCTGGGGCCTAATGTAGATGGCTCATTCTCTGCGTAGATGGCTTGGCCATCCTCAGAGGCCAAGGAGAACGATTTTTCTTCCTCCTCTTTATGACACTTTTTAGATACTTGAAAGCTGCTCTCCTGTCCCTTTTCAGTCTTCTCTTTTCCAACCTAAACAAGGACGGTTCCTTCAGCCTTGCCTCATAGCTCATGTTCTCTAGACCTTTCATCATTTGTGTTGCTCTTCTCTGGACTTTCTACAGTTTCTCCACATGTTTACTGAAATGTAGCACCCAGAACTGGACACAATACTCCAGCTGGGGCCTAATGTAGATGGCTCATTCTCTGCGTAGATGGCTCATTCTCTGCCTAGGGGACGTGAGACTAGGTGGGTTAATTTCCAGTCCTCCTATTTGTTCTTTTCCTAAGCCAGGAGAGCACAGTGGTTCTGATGGGGGCTCTGCAGGAAGGCAGCCTGCACTGCCCCCTGCCTGAAACCCCTTGTGCAGGTGTTAAACAGCTGTCCAGCCCACCCCAGAGGTGACTGCATTTCAGCATACCTGAAGCAACACAGTACCAGCAATGGACAGGGGAATGGCTCCCAGGCATGGCTTGTGATGACTGCTTCAGTCCCGTTGACTGGGCCTCAGCCCCTTTCCTTCCCCTCCCGCACTTTGCAATGGGGCTGTAGACTCTGGGGGAGAGGGCTGGAGACAGGCAAGGGTGTCTCCCTGCAGCAGATGTAGATACGTCTCTGTATTAATCATTCTCTCACTGAAGTTTTTAGCTTTGTATTGAGTCCTTTTACATGGAAATTTTGTATTATGTCGTGGTAGAATAGTCCCTAAAACAAGTGAAGTAGAGACTGTCCCTGTGGAGTGAATGAGGTGGGGATGGATAAGGTGGAAGGTGAGCATCTCTAGGCAGTTGCAAGGGTTGGAGAGGGGATGGAAGCCAGATCCAAGACCAATGAGTCCTGGGAAGTGGGCCCATTGAAAGGAGACTGGACCTGTGGATGTCTTGGGGGTCAGCAGTAAGGGCCTGCTTTGGGAAGCCCCCTCTTTGGAAGTGAAATGTGGCAGCATTGAGACACCCCCCCCTTCCCCCCGAAGCAGGTGCCACAGACACTAACTGCAGATCTGTGGGATGGCTCTCACAGATCTTGCACATGCATAAGATGATAGATCCGCAGGAGGGGGGAGCAGTGGCGTAGCGTGGGGGCCGGAGGGGTCAGTTGCCCCTGGGCACTGTGCTAGGTAGGTGCCAATTTAATCCCATTCTGCTCTCCCTGTCATCCCTCAGCTCCCCTGCTCCTACTCTGCCTCCCGCCGGCAGCTGGAGCCCCCCTGTCCAACCCTCCTTTATCTCTGCCAGCGGGTTAGTGCATGGGGGGGGCCCAGCCCCACACTGGAGGCAGAGGGGGAAGACGTGGTACAAGCTCCGCTCACCCCTCCTCCCAAGGTCGGGCTCAGTCATGTGCCAGGTTTGTGGGTGTCGTGCAGCCACGGGGTGGCGGCAGGAGTGGGAAGTGCAAATTTTTCCTTTGCCCCTGGGTGCATAACCCCCTCACTACGCCTCTGCTCCTGCCTCCCCGTTCAGGGCCTCTCCAGAGCTGAGAGCGCAGTTGACGGCTCCAGTGTGTGCTAGTCTCTGTGGATGATTCCTTTCACTTGAGGCTGTGAAGATGAGTCCTTTCACTTCCAAGCTCAGTGTGGTTGTGACTCCAAGTGGTGCTGCTGTGAGGTGTGACTGGTGAGCCTCTTCCCCGCAGGCAGCCCTGCTGTAACCCTGGTTCTGTTTGCAGGCTGCCTTGCAGGTGGGTGGACATGGAGAGCGGCTGCACCAGTGCCAGGAGGTGATGCTCACCACAGCCAAGGCCATTCCTATGCAGGTGGACGGGGAGCCATGCAAGCTGGCAGCCTCCTGCATTCACATCTCCCTACGCAACCAGGCCAATATGGTGCAGAAGACCAAGCGACGCAACTCCATGCCCCTGCTCAATGAGTACGTTCACCTGGCGCAGGGAAACCCTGGGAGCCCCAGACGCAGCCTCAAAGGGCACAGGGGGCTTGTACCAGTCCAAGGGGGAGTGTTTATTCTGGGTGGCTTGAGTTATGGCAGCCATCAGCTGCAAAAAAATGTAGCCCTTCCCCTTCTCACCTGCTTTTGGAACTGGGTTAGCAAGGGGTTCTGCCGCACAGCCTCCAGCACCACTCCCTGGGGGAGTCAAGTCCTGGGGTGGCTGGGAGCGCTGCCCTGTGTCCCTAGCCAGCCATAACAGTGCAGCTCCACTTCTGCTTACAGTGCTGCTGGCTGGGAGAGACAAGTGCTGCATAGCTGGGAGCTCCCTAAGTTGGCACCTGAAGCCAGTGCTCTTGCCTAGCTTCCTCAGTTGCCTCTCGCTGGAGGAGTCAAGGCTAGTGTAGCTGGGTGCTCCTGCCTACACTTGTAGGGCCTCCTTTCTAACCCTTTCCCTTTTCCTCCGGCCTGCGTGCAGCCAGCAGCCAGTGCCTGAGCGGCTGCGAATCCGGGTGAACCGTATCAGCATGCACGGCT